CCCCCCCCCCGGTGCAGTGTTTGTCAGCATCAGCACCGGGGAGACAAAGGCGGCCGGGGGTGGTGTTGGCTCCTCACCCCACCCCTCCTTTGTATGCCATACCGGCTTTCACAGGTGTTCATTCACAGCACTATGGCAATAAAATAGGAGTTGCGTTAAGATGTTCAAACACCAGATAGATACATTTTGCAAGGAATATCAATACTCTATGGGGGTTCTTTCGGTAAAGTCACGTAGGATAGAATTTTTTTTAGCGTTTTCTTTCATTATTTTTCTATCTACGTGACTTTACCGAAAGAGCCAGAGACTATGGATTCCTGCAGTCACGAAAGCTTCAAATCAAGAAGGAATATCGAGCGACTGCATTAACCGCACGCGGTACTTGTGGCGAACATGCAAACAAACACGCCCTGATAATTATTGATGGCATTATCTTTGAAACTCATTGGCCTACACCAGAGACAGCGGCCTTCTTTAGTGGCCCAGTCTCACCACCAGTGTCAGACCAGAAGACAACGCCTAAAGGCGGACAGTAGAAAGACAATGCCACACGTAGCAGAGAATTGAGAGCTCGGGGTGAGCAGCTGTATGATGGGGACCCTTTTTGCCAGTTTCAAAGTGTAAAAAATAAAAATGGGTTTTACCCCTTTCTGGCAATACAACAGTTGTGTTAAGATGTTCAAACACCAAATAAGAGGACCTTTTTGCAAGGAAATATCAAGTTCGCATTAACCACACGTCCTTGCGGTGAACATGCAAAGATGTCTCTGGTATAGGCCAATCAGTTTCAAAGTAATGCATTTCTAATTATGAGAGCCATGTTCACCACATTTACCGTGTGGTGGTTAATGCAGTACTTGATTCCTTGCAAAAGTTTATATTTGGTATTTGAACATCTTTAACACAACTCCTGTGATGATGATGATGAGAGACACGCAAACTCCAAATATACAGCAGGCATCGTCAGGGTCGGGAACGAACTCATGACCTGGATACACCAGGCGAGGTAGTTAACATCTCACCACCGTGATGATGATGAGAGACACGCAAACTCCAAATATACAGCAGGCATCGTCAGGGTCGGGATCGAACCCATGATCCTCCTGCATGCCAGGCGAGGGAGTTAATGCCTCCTACTTTCTGTACCTGCCACTTCATCATCCTCAATCAGCCACGATCTACCCACCACAATACGCAGGCCTCCCCACTGCAACGATAATCTACGAGCAAGGGTCTGGATTTTTGTTTGACGTAATAATAACATTCAAGTCTTTAACTGTACTACTCCCACGCACAACTACCCCCCCACCCTATCCCCAAGCACTCTGGCAACACTAGTTTTGACTTATTTGGTCCTTACCAGCAGTGTCGTACCTTGTTTAAACTCTTGCAGGCGAGTGTGATGTGTGGCGTTTTAAATCCCGCAAAGTGTGGTCCGGTGCGCTCTATTTAAATCACAATATTGCAGATGGAGGTGATTTCGGTCATCCACGTGGTTCCTGCAATGGGAGTTTGTATTTTTGGACCTTGGACAAATAGTTTTTTTTGTTTTAGTTTCGCGTGTGCCTAAAAGTCCAAAGACAAAAGGTCCCCCCCTCCGCCTAGCCTACAACAAGACGATTGGGGCAAGTAAGACTGAGAATATAATTTTATACTGGAGAAATCCAATGAGCTGTGAAGCTCTTTTTCACGGATGCCCTGTATGGGCGCGGGGTCAGTGGATATAGAACACAGCGGCTCATCTCGAGCTAGAAATGCTCTGCCACGTGTGGCATTGTCATTGTACCGTCCGCCTTTTGGCGTTAAGTCTCTGGTCTGACACTGGTGGCGAGATTAGGCCATGAAAGAAGGCCGCCGTCTCTGGTGTATGCCAATCCGTTTCAAAGCTAATGCCATAAATTATCACAGCCACGTTTGTTTGCATGTTCACCACAAGTACCAGTGGTGTAGTCAGTGCAGAACTTGATTGCTTGCAAGAGATTTCTCTTTGGTGTGGAACGTCTCAACACAACTTCTGCTTTATTTGCCAGAAAGGGTGAAAACACTATTCTCTTATGCAGTCACGAAAACATTAATTCTTTATTAACACCATTCTTATTTTTTTGCCACATGGCGTTAACAAGGTTGTTGGCGGCCTATCGTCTTAGGCAGAAGTTCTCCGGACATCCATGCCACGTTTCCTCTCGTCGGTGAATAATCCCCGAAGTCCGCTACGCAACAGCCAAAAAAACTTCCTCTAACGTGCACCAAACTATACTGTTCAGTGTTTAACACACACATACCACACGTGCAGTGCTCACGTACCGTTTGCTCGTGTTCTGGACAGAGACTCAGGTTGTTGTTGTGACACTGCTCGTTATTCTGTTTACAACAGCATAGAGCGCGAGAAATTACTAATTCGCATCGCTAAAAATGAGCACGTTACCAACCATGCAACCTGCAATGGATGCGCGGGCACGGGATTGCTTGTTAGAAACTAAAGTCACATTGCGGGATTTTTCCGCTGCACGTTGCCGCAACATTCACACTGTAACCTTCACCACACACCCTGTCAACCCATACGATTAACCCCGTATTCCTGTACAGGGGAATTGAGTTCAGGGTCCACACGGAGGCCAGCCGTTTCCATACGGGCAAAATATTTACATTTTTTGTCTATTTGTTTGTGTTTCGCCCCTTGTTATGGGACTTTGTAGGGTGAACGTTGAGATTTATAAGGGGCACGGGGGTGACCAATAAGGTCTGAATTGGTCTGTAATAAGGTAGGGCACTCATAAGGGGTTGATAGGTTTGCTACTATACACTACACTACTATACACACTATTATATAATACCATACACTACACGACTATACACACCGCTACTACACACCGGTCAACCCATACGATTTACCCAGTATTCTTGTACAGGGAAATAGAGTTTTCAGATCCATATGACATACAGTCGTTTCAATACGGGCAAAAATAAATATTGCCTCATTATTTTTTGTGTTTCGCCCTTGCGTTTGGGACTGAACTTTGAGATTTATAAAGGGGCACGGTGTGACCAGTCAGGTTTTGAATTGTTCTGTAATAAGGTAGGGCACTGATAAGGGCGTTAGACACAGGTATGCTCCACTACAGTGACACGGGCCACGACATTTGTCGCTGTTAACGTAGTCCCGGAACTGCCGCCTCTACACATTCGCGTTATCAGCACGTGTCCTCTAGACAAAGATCCCCCGTATAGCCTGAACAGACTGTTGGGGCAAGTGCTGTTAGAGCACACAATCACACAATCACACACAACGCCTCTTACAAGATTGCAAACCCGATGGTGATTTGTATATAGGGGCTGAAAGATGCCGGGAAAATATCTAATTGCGATTTTTCTGACAGATATATTACGATTTGATTTGCGATTACATTTTTTTAAGTCAAGCTTCAGTTTAATATTCACAGTGTAAAATATTTAAAACACGTGATGGATCATTACCACGTGATACCATCAACATATTAACTGCTCTATATATACTAATGCAAGGATGAGAACGTAAAAGATGAATTGCATCCAATATGTATTTATTAAAATGTTTTAATTAAAATAGAACAAATATATAACACTTAAGTTAAATAAAGTTATAATAATAAAAAAATAAAACAATCCCAATAAGAGAGTAATCGGTCTTTTCAAATGGCAAAAAAAATCGCAGCCTTTGCGATTTGCTAATCGCATGGTTTCAAATTGCGGTTTCGATTCGAAATCGATTAATCGTTCAGCCCTAGTAGCATACTGCACGCACGTGTCCTGCAGTTCACACAATCACACACACACAAACGTCTCTTGCAAGATTGCAAACCCGATGGCGATTTGTGGGTTGCGTACTGCGCACGCCAGCATTCGCGTTATCAGCACACGTGCCATGTATTGAGCACGCAAATCACACACCACCTCGTGTACAAGATCGCAAACCCGAGGGTGGGTGGTTTCCGTACTTGTAAGGCTGCACCGTGTCCTGCGTTGTTGCTGCATTAGCAGTGCTGGAACGCGCGCGTGTTGTTTAAGTGCAGCGCTAAAGCAACGTGCGAGACACACGTGGACATGTGCAGCGCGGCACACAACATCGCGTTATACCACAGGCTTGCGTGGTTAAAGGTTGGCCCAATAACCACCCCCATGTGGCGGGGACCTGGCTCCTATCCAGCAGTGGAGTTGTGACACGCAACTCTTGTAGCGAGTTCCGCACACCGCGTTGTGCAGCACACGGACGGACGAATTCGAGGAACTTTTATTTGACCGCTGCTGTAATTTCCCACGCGTTGATGATACAAGACTTCTCGTTGAGCGATTTTATCATTTGCGACAGGCAGGTCCCGCTTGTGAACAAGGATCTCTATGTTACAGTACAAGCTCACTGGGCCGTTTACCTGGTTGAAATAATAACAACAAAACTAAAAAAAATAATGTTTAGTTTAGTTTTAGATGTTGTGACAAGATCCGCAAGCACCACCAACTTCAACATTGGCAGCAGCAGCAACAATAGTGGTTGCGGCATCAGCAGCAACATTATTCACCAGCAGCTTTAAAAGCTGCTTTACAGCTGGCATCACCACTAGCACCAGAATCACCATAAAAATCACCATCATCCACCAGCAACAATTTCACCCCTCCTCTTCCACCACCACCATAACCATCATCCACCAGCAATAACTCCACCCCTCCTCTTCCACCACCACCACCATCGTCAACACCTCTTATTACAGCACGGTTGGCTACGTACGGTGCGAAAGAAGTTGAGCGCACAGTGCACGTAGAGAGATCACCCGTGTATCCTGTACAGCTTGTTGGGAGAGAGTAGTGCCCTGAGCGAGTTGGCAGCTGACGCCTCCGAAGGGCCCGCACGGTACACGAAGGGGGTTTATAGGTGGGGCAGCGAAGCAACAACACCATCACCATCAACCACCAACAACAACCACCACCACCAACAACCACCACCACCACCCCCACCAGCTCCTCATTACCTTTGCACCCGGGCGACCCGGGGCTGCGCGGCTCAGGCGAGGCCGCCTGCCTCGCGGGGCTCGCAGCAGCAGCAGCAGCAGCCGGCCCCGAGCCCGCGTCGCCCGGCTGGGCCGCGCCGCCGTGCCCGGGGCCGAACCCAGGCGCGGCCGCCTGAGCTGCGGGGGAAGACGCCGGGCTGCCCGCCGTCGCCGCCGCCACCATCACCACAGCCGGGGCGATGGTGGCCGGCGTAGTAGCCGCTGCCGCCGCCGCGGAGGAGGAAGCAGCAGCAGCTGCTGCTGGCCCCCCCGCATTGTTGTGCGGGCAGCCCTGCTGCGTCTGGGCAGCAGGGCTGGAGGCCGGGGCAGGGCCGCGGGTAGCGGTCGAGGCGGCCGCGCCGAGCAGCTGGAAGGGAACGGTCGCGCGCAGGGGTTGGTGCTTGCGGCCCGGCTGCGGGGGGGAGCCGTTGCGTCGGACCCGGGACACTTGCGAGGAAGACATCGGCGCGTGCCCCTCGAGGGAGCAAACGCCGACCGGGGGGGTGTGGTGGGACGCGACCTCGACAAAACAAGCAAACAAACAAAAAGTTCCCTACTACTTTGCGGGCGTTAACCGGGGTTAGGCTCGGCGTTTTATGAACCGCGATGCGCCGTGCGCTTCGATACGTTCGCGTATCTTGTCGGTTGCCGTGTGCGCGAGTCCTTTGTTCGCCGTGGCGTCGGGTGATCGCGCATTTGCTCAGCACGGGCGACTCGTGCTGCTGCTGCTGCGGTGGTGGTGGTCCGGATCAGGACGAACGTAGGATCCACTTCCTACCGGGCGCCTCGCTGCGCCCGAATGAAGCCTGAGCGGCTCACTGACCGCGCCTCTTATACTCGGGCTGCCGCTAGCACTCATTGGGCGGCGGTGTTGCACGTGACTGTACGGCGACGCGTGTTGATTGGTACGTTGAGAAGAGAGAGATGGGGTGGGGTTGAGAGCGCGCTGTCACGTGGATAAACAGCACGTGGTTGGTGGTGGTGTGGAAGACCTGGCGTCAATATCCACGTGAAATGTATTCATTGGCGAGGGGTGGTGGTGGTGGTGATGATGCTTCGTGATGGTACTGACGATGATGGTGATGATACGAGGAATTCTGCTTGGTGATGGTGATCGTGGTGATGGTGATGAGTGATTATCGTGGTGGTTGGTCGTGGTTGTGATGGGACTAGCAATGGCGGTGATGATACTGGTCCAAGTGTTTGGTCATAGTGGTTGGCTGGCAGTGTAGTGCAATGATGATGGTAATTGAACGGTAGTAATTGTAGCGGTGAGGGTGAAAGTGGTAGAGTTGCATTTATGAGAGGTGCGGTGACCATTTTAAACACATTCCTGCGGAGGGAGCTGGTAGGAACGTTGGGTTGCTCGGTCAATGGCCAGGGTCAACGGCTGCACCACGTGGTGTATTCCGCAAATATGCCCGACTGTGAGGGCGGGCACAAGCCGGCGTGAGTAGGTGAAACGTTGAGTTTTATAAGGGCACCACGGGGTGACCAGCCCCTCCCCACCCAGCCCCACCCTCCCAAACCCAGCCCCTTCCCACCCTCCCCACCTAGCCCCTGCCCACCCTCCCCACCCAGCCCTCCCCACCCTCCCCTCTCCACCCAGCCCCGCCCCTCCCATTTTTGGATGTACGACGGACGGACGGACACAATAATCCCCTGTGGGCTGGTGTAACCAGGAGGTTCCTACCAGTATGATGGTTATGAACCCACTGAAGTTCAATCATGTTTATTATTCAGTATTTACGTTGATTGTTGAGGGGCCGTCCATAAATGACGTCACGCGATTTTGACCCCCCCCCCCCCTCCTCGTCACACGGTGTCACGAAAAGTCAGACCCCCCTCTCAAGTATGACGTCACAAAGCTCTGCCCCCCCCCCCAAAAATATTTCCATTTTGAAAATAAAACATGCTTCAAATCGCTTTAAACTATTGCCATCGTAGTGCGTATTTAATGTGGCGCTGCACTCTAATGTTGTAGGAGTGTTGTTATAACAATTAGTGTTGTTATAACAATTCTATATTTATTAAAAGTTGCGCATTTTAATGTGACGTCACATTTCTCAACCCCCCCCCTCGTCACACATCGTCACAAATGTCTGACCCCCCCCCCTCTAGGTGCGTGACATCATTTATGGACGGCCCCTTACCAGGTAAGGCCCGCTGAGCTAAATAGCTCTTGTTCAGAAGCGAACTGGCAATCGCAGATGATAGCTCAACGAAGTGGCTTTTGTTGAACATTTGTAGCAGCCAAATACTTTAGACTCATGGATGTTTCTAAATGTGTAGGGGAAAACCGTGGATCCGGAGAAAAAATCCACGCGACAACGGGGAGAACGTGCAAACTCCAAATATACAGCAGAAGTCAGGGTCGAACCCCACAACCTCCTCCATACCAGGCGATGTAGTTAACATCTCGTCACCGCGGCAACCAAAAACAAGGGGCAATGATCCCCTGTACTCTTACAATTGTACGGCTAATGACATTTCGCATGGATAAAAAAAACCCCATTGAAGTCCTCGGCTTGTTACCATAAAACTGCACAAATTTATTTCACATTCAAGGTTAACATAATAACGACATTACGATCTATGGAACACAGCGTTCAGCGCTTCACATTCGCATCACACTGTGTGTGTTATATAGACGCTGTTGTGTTTGCAGCTAATATAGTTTACAGCTCTGGCATACATAATAGATGGGGATAACAGAAACCAGACGTCACTGTAGACTACCTCTTCTACGGCAGATGGATCCCCCCCCCCACCCCCCTTGGTGTTTAAAGGCGTACACGGCAGGTGCGGCTCCTGAAGTCAATTGCAGGCAGTAAAACGATGAAGTCCACCAACCTTCCTCCCCCCTTTAACGGTTAGCCTGGGGGCGAGGACTGTAGAGCCCCCGGCGACTTGTACATACCTCGGGGGGCTCTGAGTGCGGTTCAGATGGACCCTGGGGTACATTGCACTGCGTGTACTGTGTAGGGACAACGCTAACCCCCGGTGTGTCCGTGCGTGCGTTTGGGGAGCGGTGGTGTAGCGCTTAGCGCGCTGCGCTACGAACCTGGCGGCCCGAGTTCGATTCCCGCTCACGGCAAACATCAGCGGCGATTATCTAAACCGGGCCTGGGTCTCCCCTAGGTCGACTCGGCCTCAAATAAGTACCTGGTGCGGTGCGTAAACATCGCCACTGGGGAGACAAAGGCGGCCGGGCGTGGTGCTGGCCACCCGCCCCCTCGTGTGCCGTTCTGGCCTTAATAGGTGCTGCTCGCTAACAGCACTTGCCCTAACAGTCTGTTAAGGCTATACGGGGGACAGTGCTATACAGCCAGATAATTATCGTTGTAGCAAAAGTAGCTACATATGCTACGGGCCCCGCACTTTCAAGGGCCCCGCGCTAAATGCTTTCAAGCGATCAATTCTGGTTCAGTGATTTTGCACTTGGTCTATGACTATAGTACTATACCGCCTTCGGCTTTTATGAACGACCGGGTGTTTTAAGGTTAGCGATTTGTCGTATTATCTGACTGTATAGCAAATGAAAAAATACAATAACTTTATTATGCGATTAAAGCTTTTACGTGTTTTAATATCTACGTGTTTTTTTGTAGTTAGGACCCCTTTATAACGTATGCTACAGGCCCCGCACTAGCTTAATCCGGCACTGAAGGGGGATCTTTGTCACTGTTTGTCAGCCAACCCATCGAGCCTTCGACACTTCACGTGGTGGCCTCAAAGTGCACCTGGCCTGGCACAGGCACCGCGGTGACGTCACCGTCACTTAGTGGCTCATGGCTGGGTGTTGGTGCGTTTGTGCGAGAGGGAGGTTCGTTAAGGGGCGCTAGCGGGGGAGTTGGAGGCAGTCGCCCTCCGGCAACAAGTGTCAGAGCGGCGACGCTCTCACAACAACAGCAACAACAGCAACGACGGAGCAGAGCGCCGGGCGGATAAAATACAGCAAAGTTGGCACAGTGGCGAGCTCAGTTGGCGAACCTTGGCAGTCATCTCGGTCAGCCAACCCATGGCTCCTGGGTCTGTTCCGTGACCTCCTGCCAGCGGCGAGCCTTCGACACTTACACGTGGCCTAAAACGTGCACCTAGTCTGACACGTCTCCGCCATTTAGTGGTGAATGGCGGTTGTTGTTGTTGTTTGGACGGTGGGTTTATCAGCACACGTTTAGGGAACGAGGGGTGGTGGTGGTGTGGGTTATCGCTTGCGACCCGGGCACCACCAGGCAAGGTGTAGGTTAAAGGCGCAGCCCTGCAATTTTGCTTGCTCAGACACCCGCTGGCGAAACGGCCTCCTCTAGAGAATGTTTTTTTGGCCTACTCTTATCGTGCTGGCCCAGACGTTTTTATTTAATATTTCAAGAAAGTATGACAACCGCAGTGCTTTTGTTGTTGTTGTAAATATAAATGTGTTCGAAGGAGTGATCAATACCCTTGTACAGGATGAGTCTTAAATCTGTAACTACGCTCCAAGCCATTTATATATTTGGTTTCTTCAAGTGAGGTTGCAAAGTTAAGGGTGGTGAAAAGTATCTCGCACAACCTGGACACAGGTATGGGGACATTTCTGCAATTTTGCCTGCTCATGTCACTGCTGGAGGTCTCCACCACGGTCCAGGGAGAGAGAGGCTCCCTCTTATGGAGAGTACTTTCTCCTATCTTCAACGGCGACTATTTACAGGGATTCCTCCACTTACGAATATTCGACTTACGAACTTTCAGAGATACGAAAAAAAACCTGGTCCGTATGTCCAGTCGCCTGTTCGGATCGAGAGTCTTAAGTTCAACTGCATCACAACAGATGTCGGTGGCGGCATCTACATCTGCAGAACATGAAGAACCAGTGGCATCTACATCTGCAGAACGTCAAGAACCAGTGGGATCTACATCTGCAGAACATGAAGAACCAGTGGCATCTACATCTGCAGAACGTGAAGAACCAGTGGCATCTATATCTGCAGAACGTGAAGAACCAGTGGCATCTACATCTGCAGAACGTGAAGAATCAGTGGCATCTAGATCTGCAGAACGTGAAGAACCAGTGGCATCTACATTTGCAGAACGTGAAGAACCAGTGGCATCTACATCTGCAGAACGTGAAGAACCAGTGGCATCTACATCTGCAGAACGTGAAGAACCAGTGGCATCTAGATCTGCATAACGTGAAGAACCAGT